CCCCACCAATGCCACAACCAAATCTACGCCCTTGTACATTCTATTCACTATTTTACTAACATTGCTGCACCCAGAAATGACTCCTCCAAAAAGATATGCCACGTAATCTATTTCAGATAAACATTTTGGTTTTTTAAATATTTTCTACTATTTGTAGATAAAAGTGTTCATCATTTCTTCTTTCTTTTCTCTTCTTTCTTCTTCTAGTATAGGCCTGCTTATATGCTTCCCTCGGGGTCCGTTTCTGAAAGGCATAATATCTGCTTTCATTGCTGTGCAGATGACTACTGATATATTTACCTATGCAAACCAACACCTATGCTTCTATTCAGGCACTGGTAAACTTTTTTAGAGATATACAATCATAATTAGAGGTAAACTGGCTAAATCTGAACTAATCAGCCATCAGCAGCAGCTCTCCTCTTGACAGGAAAGAAATGGTGTGATTACATTAGAAAATGTTTTTACTTGTTTTAAAGAGTATCAAAAACTCTGTACTCCTGTCAGAGCACTTAGGTTTGCAAAGCAGAAGATTTAGTTAATGTTATGTATAGTTTATTTTTGTACATCCTGTACAGCACTTCGTTTAACTAAGGCTGTTTAAAGTTGTTTAAGAATTCCTATAAGTTAACCTTGACTTGACTTAAATCTAAATTCTTCTTTTAGTTTATTTTCAAAACTAAATCTGTGAACTGATATTCAACATTTCCATTTTAAAAGTTTGATAAAAGTGTATTTAATTTAATCTGGAGCAATACTGAAAAATATTGGATTTAGAACAACAACAACTAACATTAAACTTTAAATTCAATAGTTTTAGGCAACATACAAAAGGAAAAGGAAAATGGGGAATACTTCCTACCTGGGATTTTTCTTGTCACAGACAATCCTTTTTATGTTATATTTATAGTTTGCTCTAGCACTCCTAAGTTTTCCCATGTGTCAAGCGTGCCTGGCACCTTTTTGTTCTTCAGCCCTAAAAGGAACCTACAGGTGAGACACCTGCCAACTGAAAACTTCCTGTCAGCCTTTTTCAGAGTAAAAATGTTTTAAACAGACAAATCTTTTCCACACTTCAGGATCTGTAGCCATCAAAAAAGTGTGTTAAATAACCACATACTGAGGAGGTCTTATAGCAAGGGTTAGTGTTAGATGTTTGCTTATAGCATACATAAATATTTTTTCTATAGAATGGGCAACTGCAGTATTATTGCCATGCAGACTTGACTCCAAGAGTGAAACTTATCTAGCATGCAGGAATAAGTATACAACTATTAATTGAAATGACATGCTTTTATTCTGAAAAGATACGCTTTAGCGCCAGAGGGTTCCTCTCTCCACCATAAAGAAATGCCACTGTCATCGCACAGTAAATACATCTGAAAACAGGACAAAAAAATTGTATGACTCTAACCTGTTTCTATTATAAACTTAAATATTTTATACCTTTATTTTTGATCCATCCACCAATCCATCCACTCCAATTTTAACTGCTTATTCAACTTGGAGTCACAACAGGGCGGGAGCTTATCTGTTATATAGAGAAGGAGGTAGATGAGTCCATCAAAGAGCCTGTTATCTTCCTGTTATTAAAAATAGTATTCATTTGAATTTATGTAATGTACATGTAAAGCAGCGCTATACAGTAGATAAGGGGAATCTCTTAACAATGCAAAACTGGCTGAACTGGTTTTTTGTATCAGTGCATACAAAATCAGTTAACAACAGCCAAACATTGTGTTATGTTACCAAGTTTTCCACTTTATGTCAGCAAAGTTTACAGAGTACTACTAATATTATCATTGCTATTGCTGGGGGGAGGGTTGTGAAATTGTAGATCCTTAATATATGATTTTTCTATGATCGATACATTGTGTGTATTTTGCAATTTGAATGTATTTTCATATTAAAATGTTGAATCTAAATTTTTAAAAAAAATTACTTTGTAATAAATACCAGACATCATACTGTTTACATTTTAAATTGCAGATTACAAAACTGTTCTACAAGGGCCCTGGTTTGTTAAAGGATAGGTCCTGAGTCACCCTCATGTAGTTTGTTTCATTCAGCAAAGGATGGTGACAAAACTCCCAGACCTCTAAAGTGATTGGTTTGAATTAACAACTAAACTTGTTGTTTTTAATATCTATAGTGTATTTTTAATGTGTGTTTTAGATCTGGGGGTAGAATTGCTTATGGACTGTTTATTTAGGAACAGCCAGAACATCTTCTCTTTCTTGCTGGCTCCATGTCTTCCATTATGTTGAACACTGGTTCCCCATAAATTACCATAAATCCCACCTATCATTCACTTCCCTTTAAACCACTGAATCAGCGACATACCGAATGAAGCTTCGGTGGTCACTGATCACGCGACTCTTCAGCTTCAAATGGACCATCATCATCAGTTGGTTTCTGGAGTCAATTTTCTTGCTATGGTTAGTTTATTAGTTTCAGCGTTTGTTTGTTTTTTTTATTATTGTATGAAGGGAACATGTCAGAGGCAAGACTTTAGAAATCAGCACAGGTAATGTTTAGAAGTGGGCAACAAAATGGCCTCAGTACAAGTAATAAATGAGTCCTAATAGTTACCAGTAGAAAACCACCACACTCAGTGAAAGTAGGATACACAGGATTTATTTTTCTTTTGAAGCAGACTGGTGGGCTGAAGTCGTAGTTCTGGCCTGCAATCCAGGGCCCAAGGCCACCACAGTCAGATTTATTAGCCTTGTTACAAACAAGAAAAGGCAGTCACTCAGAAGAACATGCAGTCAATCACATATCAGTCTTGCATCTTCCAAAGAAAGGCTTTGCACCCACCTTGATACACCTTGTGTTATTAGGAAGTGAGTTTTCACTCCAAATCCTGGGAATACAAGTCTCAAGCTCTTCATGTCCAGGTCTTGAGTAATTTCTTCCATGTGGTCATCTCCTAATTACAGAGCAGGCTTTTCCTGCTTAAACTAGTGCACAGGTCCAGCAAACCATCGGTTTCCAGTCCAGTCTTTTGTAACCATAAATCCGCATAAATCCTATTTAAATCCTTCTGCTAAAATTGAATTAAATGTCATTTAACTTTAATAACCTTGCTGAGAGGACAGTGGACTTAAACCAGAATATCAGAAGATGCCTGAGAAATAGAGAGAAAGTATGCTGGCAGTGATTTTCAAGAACCAGGATCATCTGAACAGCTGTAGTAAATACAGTGGGATAAAGTTGTTGTGGTGAAGTACATAGAAGGTCGGAAGGAATGGCAATGTCTGTGTTGATCGAAAGAAAGCATATGGTGCCAAGAGAGGAACTGTGGTACTGCAAGAGGAACTCAGGAGTGGCAGAGATATAAATGAGGATGGCAAAGGACACTTTGAGTTGATCCTTCCCAATACAGTATTACACATAATACCCACAAGACAGGTGGGTTTTGTTTTGTTTTTTTCATGTGGTTTTTTTTCATTGCATGGTGAAGTGTTTGTTGTGTGTCAAATAAATGGGTACAACAACACCTGATCCATGGGTATCATTTAAGCATAGGTGCATATGATGACTAGGCTCAAAATGATTAAACTAAAATACATCATTAAGTAATTAGTTAGATGTGACGCGAATTTATTAGAATTTTAAATAAATTTATAAATAAATAATTTAATAAATGTTTCAAATTTATTGAATTTATTATTATTGAACTTGAATTCATTGAATTAAAAGAAGAATTAAAAGTCACCATCAGCCCAGTGTTCATAAGCTGCTGTTCTAAAAGATCAGAAATGTAGGCAGGAGCATCACAATTCAGAGCTTTAAAGGTCAGTACAAAGATTTTAAAATGAATTCTAAAATGTTTCATGCCTTTACTTTGAAATTACTGTGACACACACACGCACAAACAAAAGAATGTGCTAACAGAACACAGAAGATGGCTGGGCCTCCCTGAGCCTGTTTCTATTTCTTCCTGTTAAAAAGGAGTTTTTCCTTCCTGGTGTTGCCAGTGCTTGCTCATAGGGGGTTGTCTTTCTAATATTGCAACTGTTGCGGTAATGCTATGTAAATAAAACTGAATGTAATTGAACAGAATATCTCGATACTGTACATATTTCCTGTTTGTACCTATGTAAGCTACAGAGGCACATACTTCAGAGTATTTTTCGTCACATGTACTGAGGTGAGTTTGGCTTATGTTTAGGGCTGTAGTTTTTCTGGACATTAAATAATTCACCCAGCCTTTTTTTCTACATAGATTGCAATCAAATTTCTTGCAAGTTTTCCTTGTGTTTTTTCCTTAACTATAATCACAGCCAAAACCAAAATAATTTTGAATAGCACTAATAAACTAAATGGATTAAAATATTTTCTCAGGTGGAATGCTTAAATTAGTTTTTTGGGATTTCGGTTATGAACCTCTCACATGCCATGGTAAAATGGCAATGATAGTCTGCTTATATATAAATATACATAATGGCATGTTAATTTAAAATGAACATTGAAAGAATCTGTTTATAGTTAAGTTAGGTTTATAGTTTTTTAATATTAATTTATAATAGATAATAAACACTTCACCTAAACTAACTCAGTCAGTGCCTTGTGTCTCAGATATTTCTCCAAGCAGTAGATAGCAATGGGATCTCTGTCTGCATCAAACTTATTGGCAAAAAGGTGATGCTGTTCAATCAACCACTGCAGGTCTCCAGCACCATACACACACATTGATCTAATGTGGTGGCCTTTACATTCTGGGTATACTGCTTGCAAGGAACCCTCTGACCCCTCGTGCCACTGCCACTTCACGAGCCGTGCAATTGCATGCATGTCAGTAATATCGAATTTACTGTTGGGCCACGATGAGCCAGGAACACCAGGTATTCGTTGTATTGTTGCCCACAGAAACTCATCAGGACTGTAGGTGTCTTTGGCCCACTCAGTGAGGGCCTGTATTCGCTCGTCTTCCAACACACTGCGAATGTAACCTCGGTTGACCACAATGTAGGCATTTCCTGATAGTATGGGCAGATTAAAGGGAGCTGGATCCTTTGTTTTTCCTATTGGCTGGGGCAATTGAAAAGTTAATATGATGGTAAGTCAATCTGAATTGAAGGTTTTTACAAACGCAAAGAGAATTGATAATAGCTACATGATACATTACAAGAAATATCCAAAGAAGTACCTGGATTTGTCCATTAACTACTTGGTAAGCATTCATCACCCTCTTCTTCTTTCCTTGAGGCATTTCTTCCGACTCCAAACTGTTACCTCCTTTCAGTGAACGCAAAGCTTGCACAATTTCCAAATTAGTTTTTAGAGGGAAATCCTGACCACAGAGGTTGATGAAGTATTTCCATGTTGTACTGGTGTTATAGAGATCAGCCATACAGTTAAGATCAGCCTGTACACGTGTCCATCCAGCGTAGACCACATCCACAGCCTCACTGACCATGAACACATTTGGGAAACAGGAAGTAATGGCATTGATGGCAATAAAGACTGAAGCCTGTGCTTTTTTGTCCACATGAACACAATAAATATTTTGAGGTGCGTAGATAGCTCGCAGTAGTCGCTCAAAGTTCTGCACCTAAAGATAAAAAGGATTTAATTCACTTTGTAAAATGTTTTTGCTGATACTCTTCAAAAGTAGTACTTTAGATAATAACATTATCAAATTAAATGACATATTTAGAACACCCCAATTTTTCCATTTTTTTATTGTAAATTGTGCTCACAAAGGTGTGATACCACAGTATGCTCAACCACTGCTTTTATGCAAACAGAGTGGGGGCAGTTCACCACTAACCTTTTTTCAAGTTATTCATTGGACTTGAATGATTTGAATTTTAATAAATAATTGGAAAAATTGGGGTGCATATGTGTGTGT